GTAACTAGTAACTTCGGCGTTACTAGTTACTTGGTAACTAGTAACTTTGGAGTTACTAGTTACTTGGCAACGTAACGGTAACTTCCCTCCCCTATTCTCACCTAACTTTAGATGTACGCTGGAAAATCAAAAAGGAACAGAATTATAATGTAAAACTTTGCCCATCAATCGTTCCAATTATCTATAGAGCATCCTAAAATTTTTAACTGAAAAAGAATTATTTTCGTCAAGACATTGGATTCTCAAGTGAACTCGATTTTTGTAATATATCTATCACAAGTGAATGAAGTATGAACGGTTTCGGCCGAAAAATAGAAGGAATTTGGAGGCCACAATGCTGTAATTGAATTCGATGATAGAATTTCATCCAGTTTCGGCCGTAACCAGACATTGCCGGCTACCAGATCCTATTGCCGATTTTCCGCTAAAAATCCACGGATCTAGGCGTTGAAATCATTGACTTAGATGGCCAATGACTATTTTTTTTAAAGTTTCAGTACTTTGACAAAGAATACTCTGATCGACTGAAAATTTGTGGATATTTCAAAGATCATTTGATCTATCTATAGGCGAAATTTCAAGTCAGAATACTGTTCTTTTTAATTTTTCCTACATGCGTATAATTGAGTCAAATATTAACCTGAAACTATGGAGAATATCGTATATCATACGCTAGTAACCAAAAGACTAAGTAAGATGATCATAATTTAGCTTGAAAGACTAATGAATACAAATGCTTTTAGACTAATGTTAGTTTTACTAAGACATTTTATGGACTCAATATAATCTTAAAAGGCGGGTATCAATTCGGTTTACTCCATCATTAGATTTAATTCATAGAAGAGAATGTCTCATCAATTAAAATTTTATTAATGCAAAAGATATGAAAACTGCATTTTAATGACAGTACATTTGCTTTTGGGTTTTCACTTAGAAGAATGCTAAAAATATATTCAGAATGTTGAAAAATCATTAAGCTCAGTCGACAAATGATACTTTTAAGCGAAATGACAAAATAAGATTCTTATTTTGAGTTCTATCAAGATGTGAATAGACTAATGTACATAAGAGTACTTTCATTTGTCTTTGTTCAATACTCTAACGTATTATTCATAAAAAAGATGCTAATAACGACCAATAGAAATTTGTGAATAAAAAAAAAGAAGATTTTATTTCCCTTGAATATAGTGTTGACATAATCAACAGATAATCATATATGATGATAGCTTTTTTCGTTAATCTTAGAAATCAACAGTCAATGAAAAATGAAGGACAAAAAATAGAGTTGAATCATTAGATCGAGTTTTATATTTTCATAAACTAAGTCTCACGAATATTTATCTTGTGCAACATGATTGTCAATAAGAAGTGAATGGAAGTATGTGGAGCCAGAGATTACAGACAGATGTTTTATTGTTTTAGTGTAAATTATATTATTATATGAATCCAATTAAAACAGAACTCGAGGGATAAGACAAAAAGAAAACAACATCTAACATTTTTGATTGCATTAGTTAATAAGGAGAATTCTTAAATCTTATAGAGCCTATACGAATAGATTTCGGAACAAGAATTCAAATAAATCTTGTTCGATCCTTCACTGATGACAAATATTACAGCAATAAATTTAGACTGTTGATTGTATAACATTAAAAAAAGTTTGTCTACCATCTGCTACCCAGACAGACATTTAACAATCATAATCTCGTTTAAACGCTTTCTCCAAGAGTTTAGAGCGTTTTAAGACCTGTAAAAGTGTTTATCAACGAAATTTTTACATTTAAACGCCTTATTACCGTGTTTTTTCAGGAAACAACACGTTGAAATGATCTTTCTCCGTTTGACTGTAATTATCAAAAAATAAGTTGTAACTAGAAAAATTATATTATTGTAGCGTTCTCAATAAGTAGAGTCTCTATCACGTAATAATTGCTTGTCAATTGTAGTTATTATCACTCACCTGTTACTAGAGAGTAGTAAGTTGTTAGTTTAACTAGTCTGCAGTACCTCTATGTAATCGAATGTATTTTATCACATAACAATCACTAGTAAATAACTGATTGGTATATTTTTTCGAAAGTAGTAAACGCTGATATCTACCATTTATTAGTAATACGTAACTGATCATTATTATATGTAACTATTACTAATACAAAAACAAACCCACACCTAACCATGAGCAAATAGATAATAGTGACACTCAAATCTTTATATGGTAAGCAGAAACTACCACTTATTACACTACATGTTAAAATGTCATACTAACTATATAAATTATTCTGCTTCTCTTGAATAATATGATATCGAAAATCTTTGTCTTTTCTTTCTTGTAAAAGTGACAATATATGTGTATGAGTAATACGTGTGATCAACAAATAGAATTGAGTCACTCTATTTTCTTATTGCGTATGTTTATAAACAAGGATAAGTTCGAATTTAGTCATTTCATCGAGTTTCAACAATTATTCATCTCTGATTTTTTTTCTATTCATACGATAGAAACATAAGTCATCATTCGCCTACGTTCGAAATAATTTCTCTTTCGTTCTGTTCTTTTGTTCAGCTCACGAAGAAAAGCAAAAAAAATATTTTTTTTTCCTCTCATTCAATTGCTTGTTCTTTCCTTTTTGTATTTTCATTTGTGTTCCATCTGAATTAAAGAGTAGTTACCTAAGTTAGCATAGTCGTAAGTTTTAGTCCATAATTAGAATCCGTGTATAATTCAGTATTAATCCATATCTGTATAGTGTGTATGAGAATAAATAGACTCAAGTCAGATAAGCCTCTTTTCTAAAAAAAAAATCTTTCTCAATGATAGAAAGAAACAAGAATTTAGTGTATGGTTTGTAATAGTCAGCTTTTTTCGACAAAGTTCTGATATTGATCAAGCTACACCAATCAGTATATGTAAGATAGACACAATATAGAGATCAGGTTTGCTCGTCAAGAATTATATTAGTGTTTCAATATAAATGTTCATCTAGATATTTTAATGTAGAAAGTTTGCTACGAGCACTCTTATGACTGTAAAAATAACTTAAAGTCTTTGATAGATGAACAATATACAGAAAACTCTTTCGATGAAAACAAGATCAAATAGTCACACTCTTGCAAAGATGACGCTGTCATTTCGAGACTTTTTTCGTAGAATCTGCTTAACATTTCAATACTATGTTCTGATTAAAATTACGATAAAATTAGTATTGTGAATCGACTAGAACATTCGTCAGTAATTGCTATTCGGATTGTAGATTTATACGTCTGAGACACTCGCTCGTTAGACGATTATTCGTTCCTCATTCTCAAGAGTCAATCCTTGAGTTGATTCTAACTTTTAAAGATTTATTCATTCAAAAATCTAGTCTGTCAGGTCTTTTAAATATGAACCTTGACTTTCTTAATCTTCAAAGAATAGACATTAAATCTTCTAATTGCAGCATATTTATTGCTTTATTGTTCTTCAATCACATATTGCAAATGACGTGTGAGAATGAAACTACCTAATATTTGAGACAGAAGAAATTCATATTGATATTTCAATGATCAACACAAAGCATTTACAGAGTATCCCGAAAGTTTCAACTGTAAAATGTTTTTTACGTTTAATTTCATTATTCATTGACATTTATGAGCTTATTTTTTTTCGTATGATAGATGACACCATCAAGGTTTTATTTCTATGAACAACTTATGCAAGTTTTCTTTAAAGTAATTACCATTAGCCGAGTTACAAAAATTCAGCTTTTTTTTCTGATTTTATATTAATATTTCTCGGCATTTCTTTTTTTGAGGAAACATCAAAGCTAATTTCTAAAAAAAGAAACGACTGTTTCAGATTTGATTAATGTGAAGATCAGAAAAAATCTAGAAATCGAAGTAATTAAAAGACAAACATTGCGAAATATTATAATAGAACAGAAAAAAATGCTTAATTCTTGTATCTTGGTAGAAGGTAATTACTTTGAAGAGTACTTTAATAGTTTATCTGTAGAAATACAAGTTTGATCACGTCACCTATCATACGAACAAAGTCACTTGATAAAGATTAATCAACAAAGAAGTTATTCGAAAAAACATTTTTGTGTATGAACTTGTAGGACACACTGCATATTTGTCAATTCATCGTTCAAACGAAGTTTTTATTCACTGTTACCAAGTATTTTCTTCGAAAATCTAAATTCGTTAAAAATTTGTGATTACTCGCCAAAAACACATTACAAAATTATTAATCTTAAACTGTTTTAGCACGTTTTTGGCGATTAATCAAACATTTTAAACAGTTTACCTATTGAGTTGTTGAAATACCGTCTTGGCTGCTAACGTGTCTGCCTGGGTGATTTCTCTTATAGACCTTGCGATTTACATAATGAAAACATGTTATATCTTACGAATAAAATTCTTGTTATCTCTCTTATTAGATCTTCGAACAAAAAAAGATATTTTTTCTTACCCAGTAATTTTAAAACATTTAATCTATCTTCTCTTAAATATGAATCTTGTCCACCATATGGAAATAATGAATCAATATCTGAATAAAGAGATGCTAAACGACAATATGGATGTATTAATTTTGATGGTTTATTTAAAATTCTTCCGTTTGGTGTACATGGTATACAGCAATGTTGTTTTAGAATATTTAACATTAATGCATCAGCATGATCTAATGCAAATAAAACTAGAATATCTTTGACATTTTTAGGCAAAACATTTAAATTAGGTAAAAGTAAATCATTATATGCACGATAATGATCATATAAATTTTTTTGATATTCATTTCCAGACATTTTACGTATAAAATAATCTTCTTCAGTTAATAATTGACATTTTTTTTCTTTTGAAATAGTTGTTAATGCTTGAACAACAATTTCTTTAACATTATTTTGTTTATTAAATATATCTAAAGAAAAAGAAATTTAAAAAAATTAATTTTTTCGATAACAGGAAAAAATAAATCAATTTTAATTTTACCTGGAAGATAAAGATAAATTTTATCATCTGATAAATCTAATGTACTTGAAAATGTTATTCTTGTTTGTTCGTCTGGGATAGGTTTTGTTGGCATTTGTTTAGTAGCTTTTATTTCAAGATCATTTATCATTTGTAATAAACGACGATCTGTTGTATACGTTTCTTTAATCCATTTAAATAAATTTTCATCATATATTTGTTGATTACGTAATAATTCTTCTAATTTAGCTGATTCAGGTTGATATTTAACACCCATTGATTCAAAAAATTTCCTATAATTATATAATTCATATGGAAGTATTTGAACATAAGATGCTAATGGATGTGTTTTATCAATAAGATATAATTGATTTGATGATGAAAAACCATTTGTACCATTCCATATCCATTCAACTAAATCACATATACGCATTTCTTTCAATATATCATTTGGATTATTTATATAGGATAATGCATCATATAAACGTTTGCATAAATTTAAATAATCAAATGTTTCACTTTTTTGTTCATGTAATGAACATTTTAAATAACATAAAACAATACATTTTAATTGTTTTATTAATAAATCAAGTTTTACTTCACGCATATCGATTAATGAACGATTTGATGATGATGATGAATTTGATGAACGTATTGAAGAAACAAATGATTCAGGTAAATCAAGAGAAGATACAAGAGCTGTAGCACCAACGAGAAATGCATGAGATTTATCACATACTTCACGTGGTGTTACAAAAGGACGACGAGAATCAATGGAACCTGAAATTAAAAATATAATACAATAATTTTATTCTTATGAGTGATTTCACTCACGTCACAATTAATTCTGCTCAATAAGAGGTTCGAAATATTCAGTTGTATCGCCATCTTGCAGTCTTTAACGTCTTAGTGTTCATAAGAAAAGTTTGAACGATATCTCATTAGGTTATTAGAAGAAAATCTATTTAACAAATGATTATTCCAATATAGTAGAATATCTCAATGAACAATCGTTCGAAAGATCTTAATGTCTCGACAACGACATCTTCAATAGCGATAAAAATAGTATGTGTAGCCAAAAGTAATATCTTTTAGAAAATGAAATAGGATTTGGTGTAAATACAAGACCTTGACTGAATATCCCTTTATGGTGATTAGCAGGTGATGACTAGAGATAAACGGAGACCAAGATTTACTTTTGGTCGCGATATCGGTCTAGAGAAAACTATTCCAAATTATATTTGTACCACATTCAAATAAATCCTTCAATACTCTTGTTTTTTAATATATTTAGATGACTAGTGTTTTTGGGGCTATCTGTCTTAAATTATATTCTGATTGGTATGATTTATAAGACAATTCGTTTAAAGCTATAGAATATTTAACTATTATGTTGAGTGTTCGTTGGGAAACCTTTTTTTCCCGTAGTTCCGACCAAGGCAACTTCTTTGTCCTGTGGTTCAGCACGTCAGTAGTCATGGTTCACATGGGATGATTGTTATATAAAAATTTCGTTTGTTTAGAACCTTATGTGTCTTTATATAGAATTTTCAACTAGAAATCAGCATGTATTCAAAACTTTCGTTTTGATACACACCTAACAAAGAATAAAAGATCATAGATTTCAAGACTGATTTTTTTTTCTAGAAATTTTTGCAGTTTATTGTTGTTTTAAATATTAAGTGAAGACTAGTTTTGCTTCTGAATCAGATCAATCGTATGAGTGAATTGCAATACTTTGAAATGATTCGTATGAAAAGTTGAAACAAAGACCGAAATGGTTTCCAAGTAGAGCATTTTGTATTATTCTATGTCTGTGTTACACCGTAAAATTTTTCCAATACATTATTTCATATTAACAGAGATACGCCTTACGGCAGTATAGCAGCAACACATAGAGCGTTATGTAATGTGACAACTAATTACAGCTTACTGAAGCTTTACGGAATAAAATTATTTTGTAGGTTTATAAAAAAACCAATTTTTCTTCTCACGAAAGCAGAAGCCATTCAAGCGAAGATTTTCTTAATTAAGTTGTTTCTCTATAAAATACGATTCTTGCCATAGTTTGAGACTTATAAGTCTGCACTAGAGTCTGTCTACTCCACAGTTTTAGAATTCAGCTGAACCGTACTCTGATATCGAAATTGGATTGGCGCCTCAAACATATGAGAGTGTTTTTCGGTTTTTTATATTCAGTGACTAGCGCATCCTACACGTTTCTTCTATAAATAGAACTTATCGAATCTGGAGTGGCTTCAGTCGGCATCTGTGTGAGCTAGAGAGTTGAAACTTTTTTGGTACATTTCTAATGTAGTAACATATGAAGACCTATCTGAAGTGGACCATAAGAACAATAGTTACTAGGTAAATACAATTAAAATCTCAACTATATCCGAAAAAGTTGCAATTTATTTATATTTAGAATTAAGAAGTCAAGTGTTTGTTTTATTTGAAAAAGAAAAAAAAAACATCCTCAAGAGATTATATGAGTGTCAATGAAGGTCTGTTGCAAACATTCTTTTATGAAAACTTAGTAAAAATGAATTAATTCAATAATAATAATTTACCTTGCCATGTAAGTGTTGATGGATATGAATGTGGTCGTTCGAGCATAACAGGTATCCATTGTGTAATATTTAAATATTGTTTAAGACTAATACGTTTTGTTTGAGAATAATCATCAACTAATTTTGGATTTTGATTTAATATATCAATAATAAAATCAGCTAATAAAAACATTAATGAACGTTTACCAGTTGTTGTTGATTCTTTTATTGTTAATTCGCATATATCAATTAATTCATCACATTTTATATCATAATATTGTCTTAATTTAAGATGTTTAAGTAAAATTAAATGTTCATTTATTGAACATATTTCAATTGATGGTAAATATTTTAATTCAAATAAAGTTAAAAATTTTTCTTTATTATTTAAATGAAATGATGATGGATCAAACATTTGTTGGCATGAACATAGTTCGCCGGTACGATTTAAAAATAAACGACTAGTTGATAATATATCTTGACAAACAACATCAGTTAAAATTAAATTTGCGCAATTTGATAACAGCCATTTGCCTATAAAAAATACGAAGAATTTTAAAAAAAATTATATTCAGTCGTAATAGAGTAGACCAGTGCTAATAAGTATGTAAGTATTCGAAACAATAGATGATAGTAACATGTTATTTAAAAAGAAATGAAATTATGAGTTATTATGAAGGTCATATTATATTATCCTTGTAAAGAATTATTCATGCATATACTTTATGAACAATTACCTTGTTCTATGCAATTATAAAGTTATCAGCATGAATTCAGTCAACAGGAAAACTTTACAATTGATTCTCATTATTAAAGGTCAGTATGTGGGATGAAATTTATGTCTATTTCAGTGACTAACACATTTTGTATTGAAATAGTAACGGTTCGAATAGTTCATAAATGTGTACAATCAATGAAAATTTATAAAAAATCGTATTGTAGAGGACTCTTCAAGTTAGTGAATCTTCATGCAAAACTTTCTCTCAACATACTTAGGTTCTTAAAAATAAAACTGAGATTGATCGTTGCTAGCGACTTAAATGAGTATGAATATAGAAACGATAAATCCTCTTGTAATTGAATGAAAAGTCCAAAACCTATTTGTAGCTGGTACGAACCCTTCTTGCTGAACACAAGATGATAGAAAAACATGAAGTCTCATTGTAAAGCAAGACTAAACTTCTATAAAACCGACTGTTTTAGGCATTAGTCTTGTTGAGAGTTATTCATTATTATTTACTAACTAGTTAAGTTTGATATATGATGAGCTGAAAGAGTTGGCATTTTAGATACATTAATGGCGAAAGAGCTTATTAAATAATTTTTCAAGATAAAAAGAAAAGATTTATTTACCTAAAAATGACATTTTTTGTTGATCATTTTTAAATGTTGCATTAATTGTTGATGAATTTTGTTGCTGTTGCTGTTGTTGTATATTTGCTTGTTGCTGTTGTTGTCCAATTGTTGTTATAAGATATCTGGCAACATGTGTAAAATCATGTATAACATAACCTAATTTATCTAATAAAACTCTTGAATCACTATCTGTAACATGAATACATTGTTTCGGTGGTTGTAAATCAACAGGTAATTTTATTCCTGATTCATATATATATAAAATATTATTTAAACTAATATTTTTATATTGTGGTTGATTTAAATCAGTATTTAAATAAGCATTATCAAATATAGGTAATTGTTTAATACATTGAATATTTGAATCATCTAATTGTTGTGTCATTATACGTGATAAATATTGTCGTAATAATTTAATATCATGTTCATTTAACAATGTATTAAATTCATGTTGAATCTTTAATTGTGTAAAATGTCTTAAACGACATTTAAATATTTGTAATAAACCTAAACATGATAATTGTGGTACATATTCATCAATACATTTATGTCGACGAATCATTTCCGGAAATGGTTCAATACAATAAAAATTTAATTTTAATAAAACTTTTTGTATAGCTAAATCATCTTTACTTGGAACAATAGGTAATTGTATAAGACCAATATTTTTTGATAATTTATATAATGATATTGTATTATTAGCTGTTGATACACCTAATGGACGTGATAATGGTTGTAAATAAAGAATATTTGTATTTTCAAGCATAGATAAATCATTTGGAAATTTTTCATTTATATATTTCCAAAGATTTTCAAGCCATTCAATATTATAATAATCATGATTTCGAGGCCATTGAATACAATCATCACCACGACGCCATTCACGTGGTAACATAACTAAATCAGCGAAATCTTTCGCTGGCATTGATTGAAGTTGTGTGCGATCTATGCAGACGAACAATAGAAGAAAAGGTATACTATGTATATATTGTTGATGTTTATGAATAATTGTTTTATTCTATTCGAATGTCAAAATAAATCTGATCAAGTATTTCAAGTTTTTTTTGTCCTCTTCATGTCTAATCTCTATGCAAATTTTGTTGATCTATCCAATAGAGAGACAAAAAAACAAAAAAATGTAATATATATTTATATATAGAAATCACATTTTTACGTTATTCTCTAATGATTATATAAAAAATAACAGCAGATGTCTATTCGTCTAGGTTTTTTGTGTCTTTATTTAGCTGGCTGTTGAAATGTATGGCAAGTCAATTCATTAGCATACTCGATTAATCAGCAAATGTCAACAACAACTCTCATTCTACATTTATTTATATATCGATAAATATATATTCGTCTATGTCGGTTCTCTAATCCTATCACTGGTCGTCTTATGTCTATCTTTATTTAATATAGAAAAAAAAACAACTTCAATGTCTCTGTCTCTGTCTCCTTCTTTGTGTCTGTAACATTGTTTCGATAAACAATGAAATTGTGATAGTAGCAGTTGCTTATTTAGTAGAAAAATTGTTAATAAGGGGTTAAGATCGAGCAGTGTCTATTTTTATCATTGAAATAAGATCTTTTACTTTTCTTTGTCTTATAAAAAGAACACATAGCAACAAGGAATTCGATTCATTACCAATTGGATGATTAAAAAAAATTCAAAAATTCTAATAAACTAATTTGTTAGCAATGAATTCTATACATTAAATCTCTCATAAATTATGGATTAAGACTCCCATCGACAAGGTTTAATAACACATTGCCTTGATTGAACGGTAAAAAAAAAGAAAAAAGAAACCTAAAAATTTGTATGCTTAACAACCTACGTACACACACGTTACTTGTCACGCTCGTATATATTCTGGTGTCCTTCTCGGCAATAAAAGGCTTGCTTATTCGTTCGCTCGCTCTTCATCAGCAGAAGAAAAAGAAAGCACTTAGACACTTATGTATATGTGCGGTTTTGTGATTTGAGATTTGATCAACGTTTTCATCGTCATCGTCCCTCGTATGAACACAATAGAAAGAAAAAAAAACTAAGAAGATTAAAGATTGACAGTGATATGTGTACACATGTTTAAGCAATGGGTAATGACTGTTTTTGTTCGATAAAGATACTTTTTTTTTTCAAGAACAAGGTCCTGACAAATATCTATATAAATATACGTTCTAAAACATATCTTATTATGATTTGTTGATTAATAAACAGGGAAAAAAATAGTCTGACTCTTGTTTGTAAACCTTGTCACAACATAATGTGAACAATCATTTTTTTTGTTGTTACATTTATCAAGGATGACTGACAGGTTTTTTTTTCAACTGACATTTGCCTAACACATATATGTATATACATATTGCATATCGATGAAGCAATATAAGAATGTCGAAAAATTCTGAAGCCCGAAGATTCACTACTATACTATACATATTCAAGTACAATTTGTTCTTTTTTTTGTCCAACAAAGAAATTCAATCCAATAGGAAGGCTAAAGATTATCGCACAAATATATATATATATATATATATGTGTGTGTGTGTGTGTAGATTCTCTTCGTGCTGTTTGCTCTAGTAAATAATCAAATCTATGTATGTTCGCATACTGAGAAAAGGGGAAAAAAGTCAGAGAAATGTTGCACAATTTTTCTACGTGCATCCAATTAGAAGAAGAAATAAACGGCACAACTGTTCAAGATACACGCACCCTCATCCTGTTGCATCGACACTGATGTCGGTGTCGGTGTAGTCGTAGCAATATTGCGTGACGAAAGATAAATAGTAGGCGTTGGAGTAAGATCCCATGTGGAAAGAAAGCGTGGTCGATGTTGTTGTAATGGGCCCAAATATGACGAAGATAATACTGATGATGGATTATGAAGACGTTGTTGATGATGAGGAGGAAATATGGGTGAAACTCGATGAAAATAACGAGTGGATGTTGGAGTTAAACGACTTCCATTATTCATATGATTCGGATGATTATTATTTGATCTTTGGTCATAACGATTTGGTATATTTGCTGAAAAACGATATCTTGAGTCCATTTTATCTATGTTTGAGCACACAATATATGTGGCGTAGTTTTATTTCAGGCTAGACAATGAATGTAATCATCATCCTCAATCTTCACTTTCTTCTCTTCTTTGTTCGTCGTCCGCGTGATGAAGAAGAGGAGTAGTAGGAGAGTGACGGCGCATGTACAGGGACGTCATCATAAAAAATCTGTACGTATATGCATAAGAGGAAAGGGAGAGAGTATATATGCAAACGCAATTGATGTGGGTGATGAGAGGGAGGACCAGTACGGGTAAGAGAAAAAGAGAGACAGAAAAAGAAAAGAAGAGCAGTACGTATTTATGAGTAAGAAGAAGAAGAAGAAGAAGAAGAAGAAGAAGAAGAGTAATACCATCACATTCTTTCTCTTTTCTATATATTTACTATTCTTGTGGTGATGCTAACATTGCACTAGTACGACAAAACTGTGTAATGTCACCACATAATGAAGTTGTTATAAGATGATAGTGATTGAGATTTTTGCGTAATCTTTGACATGCACATGTTTTATAAAGGTAAATGAAATAAAAACAATTTACAAATGGCTAAAAATGATGAAGCACTTAAAAATCAAAAGTAATTGAATTATTCAATAGATGCTTATTTATATATTGATTATTACAAAAGAAAAATTTCTATGTCATAATAATGAAATAGTAAACATATTCTATAGATATTAATTTATCTTTGTTTTTCTTTCTGCTACTATGCATCATAGAGTAACCTTCAATAAAAACAAAAAATTCTTGAACTATGTTTATATAAAATGAGACAAATTGATTTGTATGTCTACTGATTACCTTGAGACTAGTTCATTACTTTAATAGATGATGGTTCTCAATCAAGGAATACACTATCATTATTAAAACATAACCGTTGCGAATGAATATGTGTCCATGTTGATAGTAATTGCCTTGTCTGATGTATGAATGAACAAGTTCGAAATATTAATTTCAATAGAACATTTTTCATTATATGTGTGGATGATGAAATATTCTGATGTGGTAATATTTCTTTTTATTCAACATTATTTTGAATAATTAAAAAAGAAAACTTCTTGAAACTTTCTATGTCTAGATATATTACAGAACAAATGGATTAATACATTCGTCAAGAAATTAGTGAAACGTGTATCAAGACAATTTATTATTTATATATACATGATCTCATCTTTACTTTAATATTTGTCCTAGTTTTATGGACAAAACTATGTAAAATATAATGAAAATAACCAGACACTTGGAATATACGTAATTACATAAGACTATTTCTATATTCAGTTTTCTCTTTTCTTTTTCGTTTTTTTCAATTATTTCTGCCTTGATTTTTCAAGTTCACTTTACTAACATACAAAATGCATCACTTGAAATGCATTGACGTATAGATCATTTTCTATTATCAATTTGCATATGATCAAATTTAACAAAAAAAAAAAAAAACGCAAAAAAAAATTGAATAAGAATGATTAAATATTAGTATGTACACATCAACATGATGCGTGCTGTGTTGTTGTAGTCTGTTTTCTTTTTTTTTTGATTCGAACACAAAGGCAAAAGAAAAAAATCTGACTTATTCAAACTATTTCTAACTATAGACACTCCCAAGGATATGTATGTTGTTTAGAAATGTATTTACCCGTTTGCATTATCGACATGTCGACTATCTGTTTTGCAACTAATATCTCCGCCTTATCTGTTATTTTTTCTTTGCTATTTCCTACGAAGAGATAAATATACAAAACAGGCAAGCGATCCATTATCGTACCGATATTATTTAACGGTTGTTGATGCTCTTCAAGTAGTTGTTCATTATTGTTTATTGGCGATTGTTGTACAATAGTTTTGACCAGATCGAGATCTAGTGATATTGGTCGTTTTATTTGTTTTTTAAGCCAGCCACGACCAATACACATATGTACTGGCGTTTGCTGTGTATTTACATTGACTTGTGATTTATAATGTTGAGATTCTTTTGACACATTTTTCGTATTATTGGTTGTTGTAGATGTTTTATTTCGAAATATCGACAAATTTTTTGATGACAAAAAATTACTGAAGAACGAATTACGTTTTTTTGATGGATTTGTAGTGCCAGAGGCTGATGCCATTGACGAGTGAAAGAAAAAAGTGAAAGAACAAGAAGGCGGACTCTTCGAGCCTATTCACTATAATACAATCTTAGCAAAAGGATCTTTTCTCTTGCTCCTTTTGACATGCATACATACATATCGTTTCTTTCTCTTGTCGTCCTTTTGTACACTCTGTTTTTTCTCTCTTCTTCGAATCTCGCTCATTTCTTTTTTTCTCTTTTTTTCATATTTCTTTATCAGAACACCTGAATATTTGCATATAACTGATGTATAAAAAAAAGAAAGTACCAGACAAGAAGCAAAATATGCCTAATGACATTTGGAAAATGTGTCCGGTTATTGTGAAATAAAAACCTTTCAATGTCATATGATTAGAAGAGACCTATTGAACACATATGGTTATAATTACAGTCATAAATGTTATATCAAAATGCGAATATCACAAGAAGAAAGAAAAAAGAAAAAGAAAAGTCATATTCATTTTCAAATCTTTATCATACGAGTAAGAGTTAACAACAATATGTAATAAAAAAAAGAAATTAGGTAGAATTTAAAACGAATAATCTTTTCTGTAGTTTCGAATTTGTATTTATGACTTTGTATTGACATATACTTATCAAGTATTCTGTTGTTATCTTATACTTTCGATCAAGTCTTCATGAATAATATCATATAAATGAATAGCATAGAATCATTAGATGCCTACAGCATTCTTTGATAAATTTTATTACAGTCGTTATAATTCTTTTACTCGATAACAAGGGAAAAAACATAGATACTCATTATTATACTTATCAAAAACTTAAGAATTTCTTGTGTATGATGTTTTCTTAGGACTTAAAAAGAATTGAACGACTTCATAATATGTAATAGTTGATAGAAATCTTTCTTCGTTTGTTTTTTTTTCAACTCCTCCCTTTAGTTTATACAATACTACAATTGACAGGTCGCCAACCTAATCTTGATTGATATGTTCATATAAAATTTATGCATTCATTCAATGCTCCACCTCTAACGACTCTAATTACAGAGTTCGATTTTCATAAAGGTGCTTACTTAGTTCTCTCTTTTTATTTGGTCACAAAAAAATTTAACATTAAGTTACATCATGCTTTTCTCTTGTTAATCGATATATTATATGTATATATAGAAAGTATTCGTTTTTTTTTCTTTGGTAAAGTAAAGGTCCTATGTATATTTAATTTAGTCTTTTTTTTCCAATTTATATATACTAATATGTGTCACGTTCAATTAGAATGAATATGCATAGACAAAATCAAATAAATGAGAAAAGTAATAAGGAGAAAATTCTTCGAAATTGTTCGAAGTACTTTCGATTAGTCAATGGATATTAGTAAAAAACTAATAAATATAGAGATGAGCATATTACCTTTACATGTAAAGTGAAAAAGTAGTGGTTGAGAATGAATTTGTTCTTTATAATGATGAACATTAGTTGGTAATGAACTATTTGTTTGAAGTTTATATATAGGTGAAGTCTTTTTCGAAGGCGATGAGGGTTTTGTTGAACAATGTGTAGTATTACCCATTTGAATATCAATAATTGAAGAGAAAAGAAGACAAAAAAGAAAGAAAAATGAACACCTTTGCTATTCAATTTAAAATAGAAATTAAGTTTCTTTTTGTTCGTCTTCTATTTTGTTTTGTATTATTGTTTTTACTGGTATTGGTAGTGATAATCGTAGGTATATACTTTTCTTCGTTGTCTACTTTGTTGTTTTGCTTGGTCACGGATCAGCATGGATAAATTAATTTTCAATTTGATAATACATATCGAGATCTTACGAAAAAAATTTTGCACATAAATGTGTATGAATGCAGTGTACACAAAAGAAAGTTGAAGAAAAGAAGTATCGCGACGTATGCGTATTCAAGTGCTTACTAAAGCCACCAACCAGCACCGGATAAGTAAAATTTTGAACTGCAATTGTTTTTAATATTGAGGAATTGCTGAGAGAATGACAGAGTAAGAGAGAAAGAGACAGGGACGACGAGAAAGAGAAGAAAAAAGAGACCAGAAAAAGAAAAATAATAATAGGTGACAAATCACACGTAGGATGCCGATATAGTACAATATTTTCTGTATAGAGATGTATATACGGGTATGAACGGTTGGACATATGATATTATCGTTTTTGAGCAATGAAGAGAAAAAAATTGATTTTTTTCTCATATATTATTCATGGATGTCTATCTAACGAAGATAGTTTGTGTTAGTCAATGTATATAAACAGTTATAATCAGTAAAAAAACATCTTTCTTTTAATCATTAGAGAATAAAAAAAAATTTGTTAAAGTAAAAAAAACGTCACACTTTTTCCTTTTTTGTTTCAATCCTTTCTCTGTTCGAAATATGCTTCAATTACAGTAAAATATACGAAATAATCAAAATGTGCGCATCAGTTATTAATTCATTGACCATATAGATAGATGAACATTTAAATACTATACATGAATGAACCTTTTTCACCTTGGCTTCACACGCCTTATGTTTGTTTGCTTCCAAACATACAAATGATGATGACGATGATGATGATCGATTGAGTATGTTTTATTAACCTTGCCCAAAGACACGTCACACTAGGATTAGGTCGGAAAAGAAAAAAAAAGAAACTTTTCACATAGACACGATTGATCACTTTTCTCCATTCTCTGAACATCAAAAAGATAGACATACATACATCATTGCTAGCTGGCTATAAAATAGCGTCAATGTCCAGGCGAATCTATTCTAACTGATCAATTATTCTAGATAACTTATAGGAACATTATTCCCTTATTATTCATTACAAGTCGATGTATCGAGATTTACTTTCTTATTACGTATAGATATCTGCAAGACGTACGTATACATTAAATCCTAAGAAACAGCTAATAGTA